GCTGTAGTGGGAGTAGGGATAGAAGAGTCTCCCAGATTTCCTGAGGTGGCAAAGACTTTGGTATGTTCTAGGAACTATTCTAAGGCTTGTGTGACTGGAGCTCAGTTGAGTGAGGGGAGACTGAGGTGAAGAGAGGCTGTCGAAGGTGGGTGGGGCCAGAACTTGAGGATTTGCAGGCCATGGTGAGGAGTTAGGATTTTATTCCAAGGGCACTGGGAAGCAGTTGAGGATCCTAAAGAAGGGAATGACTATCCATGTTATGTTTTAAGAGAATTTCTCTGTCTGTAAGTGTCTGGTGAATGGACGAGAGCAGTCAGAGTGGAAGCAGGGAGAACATTGCAAAGGCTGTTGTAACGGTCCAGGAGGAAGGGCTTGTGGTGGCCTGATCAGGACCTCAGGTGGGAGAGGGGTGACAAGTACATAGATACGGGATGTTTTCGAAGTAGAATTCATAAAACTATCTTAGACCAAATATAATCTTTCAGTTTTCTTTCTCGTTCTACCTCTTCCCTTCTCTGCTTCCACCAACACAAGTAACTAAGGTCTTAGTCTTTCTCTTCAAATTAGCAGCTGCAGGAGGAAGCTGGCTGTGTTGGAATGGAAATTTAAGCAGAATTTAAGATGAATTAAATTCAGTACTATAGAATAGTTTTCTTCCCCTGATTTAAAAACATCTTTCTCTCTTGTGTTTGCAAATGTTTACCTATTAGTATTGATTTCTGTTTGCTTAACTATAGTTATTCCTTGCTCTTGTAAGTGGCTGTTTGCATCACTGATAAATATTTTCATAATATTTAAGAAGAAGAATCTTTTCTAAATATCAATGTTTTGTTTCGTAACTTTAGGCCATTTTAGGAACTCCTGCTTTAATTACCGTTTTTATACTAATGCTTTTAATGAATGGATGATTTTAATATCTGGTTTTGTATTGTGACATTTTTATTGAAATGCTAATCAAAAAGCCTGTGTAAAAGGCGTATTGTTTGTGTCTTCTCCCTCCTTACCCCTTTCATTTCTTCATTTATCTTTTCTGGTATCTAAATGATTTTCTTCCTTACTGTTGTTTTTTCCTGTGCAAGTGTTTCTTCTGGCTGCATGGGACAACAACATATGAGTGAAATGATTTCTGCATTAGTCTCGGTAAGCAAAAATGAAAGAAAGGAGAACACAGGGTGTGAGTCACAAGCGTTCAAGTTCCTTAAATGTAATCGTGTATAATTTATGTCTAGTAGTAACTTTCACCTCAGATCAACTCATGAAGTGGGAGATATATATGTATCCACCATTGAAACATGTTTCTCAAAAATAATTTTTTGTTCAAAGATTATAACTGGCAAGTTGAGGGACATTTCTGTAGGGAAAAACTCTAATAATACGTTACTATTTTATCACTATAAAGTTCTGTTTCAATTTGGTCATCAGGGGACATGGTGGTCACGTAAATTTCATTTGGCTTGCTTTTGTAACTGGTAAAGTAGCTGGTTAAAAAAAAGTCATGAAGGCAAGAAAGAATGCATGCTTGTAGCTGAGCAGGGCTTGAACTCTGCTGACATTTAATGGAACAAATCCTCCAAATAAAATTAATAATAATATTTATATAGTCATGTTTTTATGGATTAAAGACCTCAGAATATGAATTCTGTGTGGAAGTAAGTTCTTTCATTTCAACGATTATGAACTCCTTCTTTCTGCAAGGCAGTGTTCTAAGTTCTGCAGGGAGTTGTGATTAAGAGGATGAAGACAAATTTAAGGCTCAATTATAATCTGTCTTATTTCTCTAATAATTTTACCTTGATTCTATATTTGCAAAAATCCTTCTTTTTCTTTGAATCTGGGTGCCGTTAGCTTATCTCCACATCTCTCTTCTTAAGCAGAAGAGTCTTCTATGTTCCTTTCAAATGAAAGTAAAGTTACAGACACCATCTCCTTTAACTTTAACATTAGAAATTAACTGCTCTCCAAGGGTTTAAAAAGTACTAGAGTTATCATCTGGGAGTCAGCTTGAAGTCATTAGAATTGGAGAGAGAAAATCTGTCAGTAGTCTCCGGCAATGTTTTTGTTTTTTGTTTGCTGCCTTGCTTTTGCCCTCTTTTGTGTAATTCCCTGTATTTGCTCTATGAAGTATTAATGGGTGTTCTCCAAGTTTGGCGAATACAGTGCACACCTTTGTGCTGTGTACAGGTTACAGGCTTATAGATGTGCTGAGATCTTGATTTGCTCAGCCTATGAAGCAGCCAGAAGGCCTTGGGTGGCCCGAGCCCCTTTCTCCAGTGGTGAGCAGCCATGACATGACCAATGTTGGGAAGCATTGAGAGAGGGAAAGGGATGTAGGCAATGTGCAGAAAGGCTAAGGAAGGGGACATGGATAAGTAATGATGGATTAATATACATTTTTAAGCCAAATAATTTTTGCACGTCAGTGATTTTAAAAATAAACTTTTTGGAAATAAGATAAACTATATAGTTTATTTAAATGTAAAAAGTATTAGATAGCAATTCAAAGCTCTCGTAATGCTCTCGCACATGTATCCTCTCAGTTGGTCCTTCCAGCAGTCCCAGGGGGACGCAGGATGGAGAGCACACTATCTCCAAAGTTTCTTTAATGTTCAGAGATTTAAAGGACTTACTCATGTTGAGCACTTTCTAGCATTATATCTTCATTTTATTAATAAATTTAGAAGGCATGCAGATTTTAAAGGGAAAACGGAAGTGTTTTCATAGCTTCTAATTTTGTCTTGTGTATGAAGCAGTGCAAGTTCTGGAAGTTTGCTAAATATGACTTCACTTATTTCACTATCGCTAAGGCCAGAGAAGGAGCTTTTAGAAGACTCCCTTCCAAATTACTTAATATCTATAAGCCTCAGTTTCCTGTTCTGCAAGAAGGGATTAACACAGAACTAATATCATAGGGTCAATGTATGGACAAAAGAGAAAATACATGTACAACGCCTGCCACAGGGCTGGGCACTTTCTAAGTACTCAATAACCGTCATGCTATATTGACCCATTTAATAAGATTTGTGAGTATATGTGATGGTTTTTGTTACTTCTCCCAGGTACAACAAAAATTTAGAAGAAGCTAAAAGAATTGGGATAAAGAAAGCTATTACAGTCAATGTTTCTATGGGTGCTGCTTACCTATTGGTCTTTGCATCATATGCCCTGTCATTCTGGTATGGGACCTCCTTGGTCATCTCAGAAGAATATTCTATTGGGCAAGTACTCACTGTAAGTGATGCTATATTAAGATATGAATCAATATTAAAAATGCCGATGAAATTGAGTGGTGTTGGCTTGACTGTAGGAGAATACACGTTGAAGAACTACTGAATAATACAAAGAGACACGCACTATTAGGTTAAAAAGTGGAAAGGAAATTGGATGTATTTGACAGCAGTTTTCTCCTTTTTGCAGATCCCTTGCACAGTTTATCCTGTGACCTAAATAACACTGACATCACCAATCTCTATAGCGTGAACTTTGGTTTGTTGAGATTATTTCTTTGTGCCAGACTCTATGCTAAGCACTTCACTTTTATTTTCTAATTTACTATTCACAACAACAAATGGCAAAATACCAGTTTAACTTCTTTTCAAATTCTTTTGAGTGACAGGTAATCTAATCTACCTCGTAAATTTATGCAAGTATAAATTGTTACTTTCCTGAAAGAATATTCTATTTATAGGTTCTCTGCCTTTTAGACCTTTGTACAAGCATAAGGCATGCCATTTGATGCTATCCTCTTTTATTTAAAGACAATGAAATAATTCACAAACCAAGCTCAATCTATAATTTGATCTAATGAAGTACATACTGTTGGGAGAGTCACTTAGTTCCTTTTTCAAGGCCAAACACAGGTATTCTGTTTCTCAAACTGTTGCCTTACCCAAAATGTGTGAGGCTATTTCGTTAAGAATGACTTTTACCAAAAAGCTCTTATCAGGATAGTGATGCTGTGGGTGAACCTAGGTTGTGATAAGAGGTGTATTCTGCTTAATTGTGATGTAAACAGTTTCAAGTCCAGTATTCGCTGAACCCAGATCTGCCTCGCACACTGCAAGCACCCAGAATAGTAAGAGCTCAGGATTTCATATCAAGCCGACTTGGTTTGGATTCCAGCTGTGCCACTTATTCGCTGTATGATTTGGTGCGGCCACCTAGACTTCTCAAGCCTCGGTTACCTCTTCTGCCAAATGGAAGTGACAGGAATGACGTGCCGTAACTTTTAGTGTTGTTGTAAGGCCTAATTGCAAAAACGAGTATAGAATCACTTAGCCGAACTCCTTCTACGTAAATTATTGGGTAACCTAATTCCTGTGTGATTTAGAAAGAAATGAATAGTGGCATTAGTTCTCTTTAACCCTGAAGAGAAACCAAGTCAAGTCTTTACCAACAAGAAACTGATTTGGGCAAAATTGAAAAACCCAGAAAGCTGTTTATCAGACTCCAAAGAGAGCGCAGTCTGGTAGAGGAACAAAAGACTTAACCTGATAAAGAGTAATGCCTTAGGTGTGTGTGCTTTATAGCTTACAAAATAGTTTCATATATACTGTTTCCTTTGACACAGCAATTCCTTTCGAGTAGGGAAAACAGAATCTTGACTGTTTTTGCAAATGAAGAAATGGAAACGCAGAGACCCTAGGAGAATTGCCTGAGACATATAGCCAGTTAGTGCTTAATCCGATTCGGACCTGGTTCTTCTGCCTCTCCTTCTAATCTTTGTTTCCAACCCGTTTATACACTGCTGATGATGTAAACCAAAATTCTTAGCTCTAAATAAATATAAATCTAGTCTATTCTAATCTTCTGGTTCCTATGGAACTTACATCGTTTCACTGAGCAAGTAAGACTAATTCTGCATTATAAATTGAAAAGTATTTAAACTTTAAAATGTTTTTGACACCCAGTATTCATCAGTTGCCTTGCCATTTTAAAATTTAATTAGCTGTGTTAGAAGAAAGAAGTTTGAAAACAAATTGTAGTAAACGCTAAGTAAGTTGATGGTTTTCCTTCATATTCCTCAGATCTTCTCTTCTGTGTTAGTGGGATGTTTTAGTATTGGACACACATCTCCAAGCATTGAAGCGTTTGCAAACGCAAGAGGAGCAGCGTATGAAATCTTCAAGATAATTGATAACGTAAGTCTGGGGTTGCCATTTATCCATCTTTCTAAAAGTTTTTCTAGTTAAAAATAGATTTCTTTATCACTTACCCTAACTCTCAACAAATGTCACTAAAAGGAGTCATTGTAACCTAATAAATTCTGAAATTTTCTTCTGTCTAGAAGCCTAGCATTGACAGCTATTCTAAGAATGGAGACAAACCAGATAATATTAAGGGAAATTTGGAGTTCAGAAATGTTCACTTCAGTTACCCATCTCGAAAAGAAGTTCAGGTACAATGATAAATGATTAATCAATGATTCAACAGTGTATCGGATAAAGAATTTCTGATACTTTCCTTTAGAGATTGTGAAAAAAAAAAAAAAAGTATATTTAAAACTAGTTTTGAATTGAACTGTCAGTTCATAGTCCCAGTACCTGTGAGTGGCCTTTAAGTTTACTTGTCTTTTGTCCTGGTAGATCTTGAAAGGCCTCAACCTGAAGGTTCAGAGTGGGCAGACGGTGGCCCTGGTTGGGAGCAGCGGCTGCGGGAAAAGCACGACAGTCCAGCTGATGCAGAGGCTCTATGACCCCACGGAGGGCGTGGTGAGATGGCTCTTGCGGAACTAGATGCTGTAGCACTCAGCAGTTGCCCTTGTAGATCACACGATACAAATCTGCAGTGTATGAAGATCACACTTCCTCTTTATTTCAGGTCAGCATTGATGGACAGGACATTAAGACCATAAACGTAAGGTATCTTCGGGAAATTACTGGTGTGGTGAGTCAGGAACCTGTGTTGTTTGCCACCACAATAGCTGAAAACATTCGCTATGGCCGTGAAAATGTCACCGTGGAGGAGATCGAGAAAGCTGTCAAGGAAGCTAATGCCTATGACTTCATCATGAAACTGCCTAATGTAAGTCCTTCCTGATCTTTGTCGTGCTCGAGGTTCACAGAATAGAATGCTGGCCTAATGCATAAGAAGTTAGGAAACTATTACAAATTGGAGGAACCTCCTAAGATAAGAAATCAAGATTATTTCAGATTTAACACTCCAGGAGCATGAACTAATAGCAGGATAATTTTAAAAATTGGAGTTGGTTATTACTAAGTGTAAGGAACTGGACATTATTGCCTGTGAGGCTTGGCTTGTTTATGGGATTACTTCCCATCTTAAAGGGTGAGCTAACTCTTTCTTTTGCTAAATCTTCCTGTGTTTTCTGTGTTGTAGAAATTTGACACCCTGGTTGGAGAGAGAGGGGCCCAGCTGAGTGGTGGACAGAAGCAGAGAATCGCCATTGCACGAGCCCTGGTTCGTAACCCCAAGATCCTCCTGCTGGACGAGGCCACATCAGCCTTGGACACTGAGAGTGAAGCAGTGGTTCAGGCGGCCCTGGACAAGGTCTGTGAGCCTCAGTTCAAACCGACCTGATTTATAAGCATAAGAACATCCCACTGTGAATTCTTCTTAATATTATTTAAAAAAAAGAAAATTTCTGATCGCTTCTAAAGTGATCCCTTCAGCTATCAAAATAAAATTATTAGGCCTCTTTGCATCTATTGGTTTAATTTCTATTCATTTCTCTGGTGTTTTTTCTTTTTTTCTTAAGTAGAGATGAATAAACTTTCATTGAAAAGTACTTGCTAATTTTAAAAATTACACAATGAGAAATATAGACTCCAATGAAAATTGGTCTTCATTGTGATCTTGAAAACTCAGCCTTAGAGATAACCTATTTTGTGAGTTTTACTGTTGTCAACAAGAGGAAAATATCATCTGAAGGTTCACATTTGATTTCCGAGATGCTAAATGCCTGTTGAAGAGTCCTTGGGACATGAGAAACCTCTCATCCCCGGGAGGGGGGCTGGAGCCGATGATGTTGGAAACTTACCGAGGCCTTGAAATGTCCTTGACTATCAACAGAGTTTGAGCTTCCTGCAATTCTTGAGTCCATGTGACCCATTCACCAAATTGGATTTGAGTGCTCCAGCTGTGCCAGGCACTGTGCTTGGTCTCTGACATGTAGTGGTAACCGGGCTAGCTCTGTGAGGACAAGGATTGTGGAGACCTTTTAACCCAAAAGTGCTCTGAGGTGAAGTGTCACAGTAGAAGTCAAAGATGAACTCATATTTGTTCTAACTCTCCTCCTCTCTAATAATAATTAAGCAACACTGTATGTTCCTTTAAACATCCTGTCAGTGTGCTTAATAGATTGTTGAGGGAGGAAAAAGCAGGTTACTAAAAATTTTCTGACCCACAGTAGAGGTAAATGGGATGTGGCTGCTTTTCTTCCCTTCACTTTGCTTTTCTGTAATTTCACATCTGTGTTTTCTTATTATTCTACAATGGAACTATGTATTAAATTATAAATAAAAACAATTTTAAAAGTTTGCATTTAAAAGTAATTTTTCTTTAGAATGTACATTTTGGGGAATTCCACATGCTCCCCTTTGCTTGAAAACATCTAAAGAATTGATCCATTGTCTTTTCTACTTCCTAGTTGCTACCACCTAATTTTTCTCATATTATTGTTTTATCTTCTCAGAGTTTTCCCAGTTCTCTTTTACATATTAATCCTGATAGGTTTTTTTGTTAGTTTGTTTTGAGAATTTTATTGCTAGTTCCTGGAAAGAAATAAAGAGTAACAAAAATCATAAACATTGCAAAAGTTACAGAGGTTAAATAAATCTCAGAGAAGTTCTGGTTATCTCGCTCTGTCCCCTATTGGAATAAAAATGAGATTGGGCATTTAAAAACATTGACATAGCTTTTGAAATTTTCCATAATGCTTCTACCTAGGAATAAGTGTCATTTGTTAAGCACTTGCTGTGTATGCATCACAGTGCTTCATGTGCATTATTTTTAGTCATAACAATTACTGTAAGAAATGAATAGAAATGAGTACTATTATTATCCTCATTTTATATATGAATAAACTGAGCCTCACACAGGTTAAAAGATTTGGATAAAATCTTGGTATCCATAAATGGCAGAATTAAGATTTGAGTTCAGATCAATGTGATGCTGAAGTCTGGACTTTGCTTCCTCAAATTTATTGTCCACCTTGACCATCCACTGTCCTGTGAGATAGGACATTATGATGCCCAGGACTGATCGCTAGCTAGTGAGCACCAGTACGGCACACCGGCCTGTGTCTGCTCTGATTGCCCAATGCCTGGGCTGTAGGCTTTTTTTACTTTTATAAGCCCCTGATTATTACTATAAACTTAGGCTGATAGAGATCAAATGAAATACTTAGAGGCTTACATAATGTTAATATGTGACTATCATATGTGTGCTTATATTTATTATAATAAAACCTTATTTTAAACTGTTATTAATTGACTATACATTTATTGAAGCTGGAGACTACCTTATGTAACTTAGATGGTTTTACAATGTCCAAGGCATTGGTGTTCAGGAAATATAAGTTGAAGGAATTAATTTTTGCATATAATTGTTCATGTATTCAAAACCCAAATCTTTCTCCCTTTAGGCCAGAAAAGGCCGGACCACCATTGTGATAGCTCATCGCTTGTCTACAGTTCGTAATGCTGATGTCATTGCTGGTTTGGATAATGGAGTCATTGTGGAGGAAGGCAGTCATGATGAACTCATGAAAGAGAAAGGCATTTACTTCAAACTTGTGACAATGCAGGTATAGTCTGACTCTAGATTTTCCTAAAGTAACTGAGGAATAAGGTGATTTTGCTGTGTTTGGTGCTATAAATAAACGTTACTTAACGTGATTATCTTGAGGAGTGGGGAAAAATACTTGGTGGATTCAGGATCAGACCAGTGTTTTAAATGTGTTTCTCTCTTGAAAGAATGGAAAATAAAGAAGAATAATTGGAGAAAAGTAAGGAAAAGTTTAAAAAGGTTTAAAGGTGAGCTGTCCACTCACTATGATAGCCACTAGCCCCACGTGGCTATTGAGCACTTGAACAATGTTTAGTCTGAACTGAAGTGTTGTAAGTAGAAAGTGCACACCAGATGCTGAAGACTAGGTACAGAAAAAGAGTGCAAACTATCTCGATAAGTTTTTTTTCTTTTTTTTGTGAGATCAGCCCTGTGCTAACATCCGCCAATCCTCCTCTTTTTTCTGCTGAGGAAGACGGCCCTGGGCTAACATCTGTGCCCATCTTCCTCCACTTTATATGCGACGCCGCCACAGCATGGCTTGCCAAGCAGTGCGTCGGTGAGCACCCGGGATCCGAACCAGCGAACCCCGGGCCGCCGCAGCGGAGCGCGCGCACTTAACCGCTTGCGCCACCGGGCCGGCCCCTCGATAAGTTTTTACATTGATTACACTTTGAAATGCTAATATGTTGGCTACATTAGGTTAAATAAATATGCAATTAAAACTGATTTTACCTCTCTCTCTCATATTTTTTAATGTGGCTACTGAGAAAATGTAAAATGACAACTGTGGCTCAGTATGGCTTGCACCATATGTCTGGTGACAGCACCAGTCCAAAGCAAATTTGAGCCAAAAATACCCACGAAAAGGAGATGACGAGATAACATACATGGAATGGGTGCCACGTTATTTCAGCATATTCAATGGGAAGTCTTCTTATCTAGTGGTTTTAATTTTCCAACATATCACAAAAGCAGAAACAGCCATTTAACTTTATCCTTTCCTGTAATTACTTAAATTACCATTTTCCTTGATATCTGATGTTTAGCAATTAATTTTCATTTGTTAACTGAGGCTAACCGGCTTATGCATATTTCTTGTTTATTTTAGACAAGAGGAAATGAAATTGAATTAGAAAATGCAATTGGTGAATCCAAGAGTGAAACTGAAATGTCTCCAAAAGATTCAGGATCGAGTCTAAGAAGAAGAAGATCAACTCGCAAGAATATCCATGCACAACAAGGCCCAGAGACACAGCTTGGTACAACAGAGTCCCAGGTATGGAGGAGGATGTGGAGTTATGGCTTCAACCCTCCCGCTGTTGCTCCCCTCGTTTAGTGGGCTAGGGTGGGGTTAGGAGTGGGAACAAGAAAGGGTTATCCAGAATCCTCCTGTCCTGTCCCCTAGAGTATTCCACAAACCACAATCTCAACATTTTAGACTTGGTTTAGCATTTACGACTGATATTTACAGGACAAGAATTTTAGAATTAGAATTTATAATATAAAGAGACAGACTAGAATGGTTCTTCAAATATAAACATTTCTATTCTGTTTATCCTTTCTCGTAAATATTCTTGTCATATTCCAAATGTCGGGTAAGAGTTAGAATGTTTGTGGATACATCATTTATTTCTTAAAAGATAAAGGAATAATATAACACTGTCAGCACTTTTTTTAAGCCAAATTGCCATCAGTTGATAAGGAAATAGGAATAGGCTATGTTCATTTAAAAATTTTATGCATATGGAGGAAGTGTCCATGATTAAATCAATTAAGTATCAATTCTTTTTCGAACTAGCCTGTAGTAATATTTGGTGTTTTCCAGGATGAAAATGTACCTCCAATTTCCTTTTGGAGGATTCTGCAGCTGAATATAACCGAATGGCCTTATTTTGTAGTTGGCATATTTTGTGCCATTATAAGTGGAGGACTGCAACCAGCATTTGCAGTAATATTTTCAAGGATTGTAGGGGTAAGTGTTTATGTCCATTTTTGGATTACCTGTGAGTCCTGACTGAAGGATGAACTGTTTGTAACTATATACATAAGCCTCAAAAAACATGTACCTTCATATGAAACTAAGCAGCTTGAAGATATAAGAACAGAAGTCTGGTTTGTGATAGGAAAGCTCCTTTTTAAACCTTCCTTTGTTCTGGCAGTTGGTTTTGATCCTATGCCCCTGGGGACCAGATCCCTGAAATAGGCAATGACACTGACTAGATGACTGTCCCTCCCCTGCCATAACTGAGCTCTGAGTAAAGCTCCTGAGCTGTTGTATCACCAGAGTGCAAAGAGAGGTCCTCACATGTGTGTCAGACAGGCTTGAGAGAGAGCTGTTCTCTGACATGCGCACTGGGCAGGACACGAGCAGGCCTAGCACGCTGCCTCTGTGAGATGTCCATCCCACTTGTTAAGATGAACACAAGTGGAACAGCTTCTGAAAGACTGAGGTTGACACGTGTTTGTTCTACGTGCTTTCTACAGGTTAGGAATATGGCTCTGTTGCTAGAGTGATTGTGGCTCATGTGAAGGGAGATGTTTGTTTTCTTTCCCTGTGGAGTGGTTCTTCTCTGTCTTCCCTATCTCGGGGAAGGTCTCCATGTGTGGTGCTAGGTCAGCTGGCTGGCGTTCCCCGACTGGCTATCTATCTGGCCATCCTGTAAAGAAGGCTGGCTCAAGGCACCTTCTTTCTTTCTCAAAGCCCTGGGCTGAGTGAATGACCACCTCTCTCTGGTTCACCAAAACCGCCCCAGCAGATTTTCTGCAGAGACCTTGGGACAGTTTGAAATGTCCAAATTGTAAAGCAACGCATTGGCCTCCAGTGTAGTTTCCCCCAAAGGAGGAAGAGAGCGTCGTTCCCATTTCTGCTTTACACAGGAGCTGTGGCACTTGTGGCGCTCGTTACTCCAGGAGGGAGTGTGAGCAGAAAAGTATTGGATCAACTGAGGAGTGACAGACCCGTTCTTGGCCCCTAAGGGAGGCAGAGTGCATACACTTTCAGGTTTGGCATTAGGGAGGCAACCCCAAGCTCCATTACACTAAGGTTCTCTTGACACCGAACCCTATGCTAGGTGGGAAATGGGTCAGACCCAGAATGGCTTCTTCAGTGGTTGAACTGAAAACCTTTCAATATTTTCTTCACAGGTGTTTACCAGAGATGAGGATCCTGAAACAAAACGACAGAATAGTAACATGTTTTCACTATTGTTTCTCGTCCTTGGAATTATTTCTTTTATTACATTTTTCCTACAGGTAAATGTCTATATTTTCACTTTATTCGTTTATGAGAAATGGGTCATTATTCAACTGTGGAATTTATAAACATCTGTGTAACTTTCTTTTTAGTAGAATTGCTCCTCTCTTAAGGGGTTATTAGGAGCCAGGTTTCTTTGATGTATTTCAAACAAAGATATTTTGGGGCTGGCTCGATGGTGTAGTGGTTAACTTTGCGTGTTCTGCTTCAGCACCCCATGGTTGACGGGTTCAGATCCTGGCTGCAGACCTGCACACTGCTCATCAAGTCATGCTGTAGTGACATCCCACATATAAAATAGAGGAAGGGGCCGGCCCCGTGGCTTAGCGGTTAAGTGCTCGCGCTCCGCTGCTGGCGGCCCGGGTTCGGATCCCGGGCGCCCACTGACACACCACTTCTCCGGCTATGCTGAGGCCGCGTCCCACATACAGCAACTAGAAGGATGTGCAGCTGTGACATACAACTATCTACTGGGGCTTTGGGGGGAAAAAAATAAATAAATAAAATCTTTAAAAATAATAAGAAGAAGAATAATAAAATAGAGGAAGATTGGCACAGATGTTAGCTCGGGACCAATCTTCCTCACCACAAAACAAAACCAAAAAAAACACCAAAGATGTTTTGCTTCGTCTGGCTCCCTTGCTTACCTCCTCCTCCCCTCTCATCTCTCCCACCTGAGATAATAATGAAACTAGAGGGAACAGAGCAAAGGAGTTAAGTGCTCTAAAAGTGTAGTATGGTAAGGCAGTATGAGTTTTGGTGTTAGAGTTGGGGTCGAGTACAAGTTGAACCAGTTCCTAATTTTGTGTCCTTGGGCAAATAAGTAGCTTAAATTGTCTAAGCTTCAGTTTCCTCATCTGTAAAATAGGGATAATGGTACCTACCTCTTGATGATTCACAGAGGTCATATGACTACGTTCCCAGGCCTGTGTGGGGCAGCAACAAACACGCAGTCACTTATTGAATGAATGATGAGCCATATGTATTTTTTTAGGAAAAAATATTGAATAAGTCATTTTAATTACCGTGTTGTAACCATGTAGTGATTTTTTTTTTATATAAACAGGACATTTTTCTTGACATTATAGGAGGTACAAATGAAAACAGACTGAAGTCTCTCATTACTAAGTACTTCCAGTCTCACTGGGGAATCTGACCTTGCCATCATAGATGGGACACTCTGTGTACACTTTATAACACTGTGCTCTTTGCATGTGTTTCTTCCTTCTCTCTCAGTAATGTCCAGCACACTACTGGGGAGCACAGAGGAGACACGGTTGCCCTCCTCCACTGCTCTGATTCTGCAGGAGACTCAGGCCTGTTAGTAGGGCCTCTCCTCTTCTGATGCACCACACAGCCGTTTCCACTCTCCTTTCCCCAGGCCATTGTGTGGCAGGCCTTTCCAGAGCTCCAGAAAGAAAGGGGAATTCCTTCTAATCTCGTATCCCCAAACTCATCGGGATGAGGGTTCTGTTGTCCTTCCTCCCCAGAGGTGGCCCAGCATGGCCACACAGTCACATCTCACTGTGTTCTTTCCCGGTAACTCTCTTCCCTCCTCCAGACACAGAAGTTTCCAACCTTGGGGGATGGAGAGGGCAGTGCAGCAAATTCTCTTTCTGTAAGCCACTTTCCCCAACCTGTTTAGCTCCTCGACTTTGGCTTTTCTAAACTTAGAGACTAAGAATTTGATATCTTTGTCCTCTGCATCCTTTATGCCTGGGGTGACTGTACAGTCCCATTCTCCCAGGTGACACCTCAGGTCCTGCTGAAATTACTAATAGTACCCCTTTGCACTCTCAAAATTGTCCTGGTTTGGGGGCCAGCCTCGTGGCTTAGCGGTTAAGTGCGCACGCTCCGCTGCTGGCGGCCCGGGTTTGGATCCTGGGCGCGCACCGACGCACCGCTTCCCCGGCCATGCTGAGGCCGTGTCCCACATACAGCAACTAGAAGGATGTGCAACTACGACATACAACTACCTACTGCGGCTTTGGGAGGGAAAAAAAAGAATAAAAAAAAACAAAACAAAATTGTCCTGGTTTGGATGATACATAATATTGCCACCTGTTTAGAGTGCCCCTGCCTTGGGAACAACTCCAGCTTCCTGAGTGACAGACCCTGGTTCACTGGGAGAAATAAGCAGGGATAGGAGGGGAGGAAAGACACACCTTTCCAGTAGATCCCTGATCAGTCTGCCAGCTAGCTGTGGAGTAGCAGTATCAGTTTCAAAACTGGCTCTCATGGCTATTCCACCAGGGCGGCTGTGCACCATAGTACACAGTCACCGAAACGTAGGCAACCCTTGAAATCAGCTTCTGACTTTGTCTAGTGTCCTGCTTTAGCAATGACATCAAGTCCCCCTCCTTCTGTGCAGTCAGCGGCTGGGTATCTGGCAAGTCTGCTTCCTGTGGCATGTTCTCGTTCTTCACAGGGCTACATGTTTGCCAAAGCTGGAGAGATCCTCACTAGGCGGCTCCGATACCTGGTTTTCCGATCGATGCTGAGACAGGTATGTCTGTTGAGGATTGTGCCCTGGGCTGTACAGAACTCCACACGTGGGCCCTGTGGTCTCAGGCAGTGGGAGCGCTGTCAGGTTACTGGGAGTGAAGTCC